CTGTGTTGATATTTCTTTTCAAGTTTGACCATGCTTTGGATTTTTTATTTTTTAGGAGTTGTAGGCCTTGATTCCACCATGGGACGTTTCTATTTCGATGTTTTTGTGTTTGTGGGATAGCTTCGTTTGCACTTCGAAGAATAACTCTGACTATATTGGCTGTCTCTTTGTTAATTTATTGGGCTGGTAATTTTTCGTGACAGTACTTGCCTGTGAGTTGTTGGAAGAGGGGCCAGTTTGCTTTGTCTAGCTTGAATTTAGTTTTGGGCGAAATAATTGGTTCGTTGTCTTGGAAGAGTGAGACGTGGATTGGAAAGTGGTCACTTCCTGCTAGGGAGTTGTCTGTGGTCCATTTTATGTGGAGTGCGAGGTAAGGTGTTGCCAGGGTCAGATCAATGTGTGTTAGTGTGTTATGTGTCGTAAAATGGGTAGGTGATCCATCGTTAGGCTGTGTTAATCAAACGAAATAATATGTTACCTCTGCGGTTGTTTTCATTCGATCCCCAGCTTATATGCCAACTGTTAAAATCTCCTGTTATAATAAGTGGCTGTGGGAGGCTGTCATACATATTTCTAAGATTTGTGAGGCTGAAGGGCTTATTTGGGGGTATGTAAGACGAGACTATGGTAAATTTGATTTTAGAGTCACTGCTACGTTATCAAATTCGAGAGTATTTAAATTAACTTGTTGTTGTTGTATGGAGTTGTGTACTAGTAGTGCCACTCCTCCATATCCGTTTGTGGCTGTGTTCTCGTGATATAATGAGTAATTACCCAATCAATTGATTGGGATGGGTATGCTTTGAACAATGTTGAAGTGGGTTTCTTGTAGGGAGATTATTTTGGGACAGTGTTTATACTCTGTGCATAAAATGTACAAGAGTATATTAGGTTTGCGGGAGCTGAAAATGTAACAGGCAGAAGGATGCGTTATGAGTGTACGCTGTGCAAGTTTTATTGTTTTATTTTTTATTCCCCCCCCCCCCCTTCCCCCCTATGGGGGTTTTCCCGATTTTCCATTCGTATAATCGTGAATACGCAGAAAATGTGTATTTTGGAATTTCCCTCCCTCCCCCCACTCCCATGCAAATCGCGATTTTCTCTAACTCCCGTAATTCTTAAAATTTCGAACTAAAATTTTGCAAATATCCCCAGTTAGTAATTGTGTATCCGTATGCGTATTCATCATGATAGACCGATTTAACAAGAAGTTATAGCCATAAATATATTTGCTGCTGGAGCGCTGCTCAAGCGCTGCCCGCGGCTGTTGTTGATGCTGGTGCTTTGGTTGACTGCGAACATGCTTACACAGACACGAATAGACGCGCATAAACATACATACAAGTACACTGACATAGACGCAATTGCTATGTAAATGTGCAATTATACACGTGAGTTCGAATACCGAGAAAGGTAAAATCGATCAAAAAATTTTTTTTTAAGTTTCTTAATTTTTTTATTTTCTATAATTATTGTAAACATATGTACAGAGTATTTCAAAGTCGGGACACCCGACTTTAGCTTTTTTACTTGTTTTTGATTAGGATTTGTAGGTCACTGTAGTTGTTTACATAACCGTTTAGATTCCATTGGAGAATTCTTAGCATATTATAATGTAAAGTTTATATATTTTTGTTTAGAAGGGTTACGAGTTGTTTTTTAGTTTATGGTCGTTTTTGTCTTTCGATTTAAGGGGTTTGGCAAGGGTGTTTTGTTTGTTGCTGTAAATCCTGAGCTTCAGTTCTTCAGTGAGTTGGGTAGATAGTGGTTTGGCTTCTTCCTTGGATGGGGTGATGTCCATGATGGTATCAAAGGGATCGTCGTACGTGATGCTGTGTCTAGCTGGCGTTGGTTGGATAGGGTTTTGGTTTTGTGCCTTGTTATGGTTGTATTGTGTTTGATTTGTGCTCTGCCTTAGTGATGTAGGTGTATTAGTTGAGGATGTTGTATTGTTTTGTGGTCTTGCCCTTTGTATCAATGCTGGTTCTGCTACTATTTTCGAGTATGATGTGGTTTGGTGAGCATGTCGGTTGTGGTACGTTTTGAGTGCAGTTTTATGGTCGACTTTTTCAATTGTTTTGATCGTTGTAATTTTTTTCTGTTTGATAAAAGCTGGTCAAGATTTATCCATGGGGCTATGGTTATTTTTTGTGTCGTACTTGCAGTTGATGCAGAATTTCTCTTCATTGCAAATTGCGTTTTCAGAGGTGTGGTGTTCTTCTGAGGAGTTGGTGCATGCTGTGGGGCTTTTACAAGTGGTGGTGGGGTGTCCAAATTTAAGACAATTGCGGCATCTGAGAGGCAGTGGCACGTATGGGCGTACATGTGCTCTCTCATAACCGATCATATAATTTTCTGGAATTGTTAGCGATGCGAAAGTTATTATAATAAGACCTATTTCCTTTAGTGTGTTATTTTCCTCTCTGATTAATTTGCGAACTTCTGTGACGTTTTGTGATTTTAGTTCTTCCAGTATTATTTCTTCCTCAATATTGCGTAAGTCGTTTGATTTGATGGTTGGTTTTATGCTCACTGACTATTACAGGGAAGTCCGTAAAGGTGTTAAGTTTTAACAATTTTTGGGCTTGAGTGGCGTTTTTTGTTTTTATTAAAAGTGTGCCTGCTCTTGTTTTTTTACATGAGTCGACTTCACCATTGCATTGGAAGTCTATAATTTTTTTATACTCTGTACATAAAATGTACAAGAGTATATTAGGTTTGCGGAAGCTGAAAATGTAACAGGCAGAAGGAGGCGTAGCAGACCCCACAAAGTATATATATTCTTGATCAGCATGACGAGACGAGTCGATTTAGCCCTGTCTGTCTGTCTGTCCGTCTGCCCATATGAACACCTGGATCTCAGAGACTATAAGAGCTAGAGACACCAAATTTTGCACAAAGATGCCTTATGTGTGTACGCTGTGCAAGTTTGTTTTATTTTTTGACCCCCCCCCCCCACTTGCCCCCTATGGGGGTTTTCCCGATTTTCCATTCGTATAATCGCCTATATCTCGGAGACTGTAAGACATAGGGACACCAAATTTTAGTCCAAGATGCGTTATATTAATACGCAGGAAATGTGTATTTTGGAATTTCCCTCCCTCCCCCTTCTCCAATGCAATTCGCGATCTCTAACTCGACTCTCTAACTCCCGTAATTCTTGGAATTTTGAACTAAAATTGCAAATACCCCCAGATAGTAATTATGTATCCGTATGCCAAGTTTCATCATGTTAGACCGATTATAGCCATAAATATGTTATATATGTGCTGCTGCAGCGCTGCTCAAGCGCTGCCCGCGCTCTTAAATTTTTATAGCCTGTTCCCAAAGGGTAAAAAATCAAAAAATAAAACAAACTTGCACAGCGTACACACATAACGCATATTTATAGTATATTAGGTTTGCGGGAGCTGAAAAATGTAACAGGCGGAAGGAGGCGTGGCAGACCCCACAAAGTATATATATTCTGGATCAGCATGACAAGCCGAGTCTATATAGCCATGTCCGTCTGTCTGTCTGTATGAACGCAAGGATCTCAGAAAAGTATAAAGAGCTAGAACAACCAAACAATGGGTAGTTACAGATTCGGCTGAGCCCGAGAAAGGACGAGTTTGATGTTTGTTCCCAATAATTTAATTAATAAAGGAAGAATTAATAAATTAAAAAGTAATAAAGGAAGGAAGGAAGTAAATGAAGGAAAGTAAGGAATTAAGAAGGGAAATTTAAGGAATTAATTAAGGTAATTAATTTAATATTATTGAAAAGGAATTATTATTTATTTAATTTATTTAATTTTAATAAATTAATTAATTAATTAAATTAAATTAAATTAAATTAAATTAATTAATTAAATTTAATTAAATTAATTCTTTTTTTTGTGGGGCGGTACAGGGTACTTAAGAGTTGAGCCTGCTCGACTTTATCATTCCTTTCTTGTTTCAATTTTTTTAATTGTTTTTTATAACTGGTTACATAGAAATGTACCGAAGTATATTAGGTTTGCGGGAGCTGAAAAATGTAACAGGCAGAAGGAGGCGTGGCAGACCCCACAAAGTATATATATTCTTGATCAGCATGACGAGACGAGTCGATCTAGCCCTGTCTGTCTGTCTGTCCGTCTGTCAGTCTGTCCGTCTGTCCGTCTGTCAGTCTGTCCGTCTGTCCGTCTGTCCGTCCGTATGAACACCTGGATCTCAGAGACTATAAGAGATAGAGACACCAAATTTTGCACAAAGATGCGTTATGTGTATATTCTATACGAGTTTGTTTTATTTTTTTGATTTTCCCCCCATTTCCCCCCTATGGGGGTTTTCCCGATTTTCCATTCGTATAATCGCCTATATCTCGAAGACCATAAGACCTAGGAACACCAAATTTGAGTCCAAGGTGCCTTGTGTGAATACGCAGAAAATGTATATTTTGGAATTTCCCTCCCTCCCCCCTCTACCCCGCAAATGCGATTTTCTCTAACTCCCGTAATTCTTGGAATTTCAAACTAAAATTTTGCAAATACCCCCAGTTGGTTATTATGTGTCCGTATGCCAAGTTTCACTATGATAGACCGATTTAACAAGAAGTTATAGCCATAAATATATTTGCTGCTGCAGCGCTGCTCAAGCGCTGCCCGGGGCTGTTGTTGATGTTGCTGTTTGGTTGACTGCGAAAATGCTTACACAGACACGAATAGATGCGCATAGGCATACATACACTCACACAGGCGCAATTGCTATGTAAATGTGCAATTATAAACCCTTTACGTGAGTTCGAATACCGAGAGAGGTAAAATCGATCAAATTTTTTTTTTATTTTCTTAATTTTTTTATTTTCTATAATTATTGTAAACATATGTACAGAGTATTTCAAAGTCGGGACACCCGACTTTAGCTTTTTTACTTGTTTATTTTTTATGTACAGGGTAATTCAAAGTCGGGAAACTCGACTTTAGCTTTTCTACTTATAAAGTTTATTTAAGTATGCAACTACATTTTTAAACCATTCAGATGGATGGCCACAGAATCGCTTTATGACAACATATTCTCTGTTAAGTCGGATATCTGGAGTTTCGGTGTCTTAATGTGGGAAATTGTCACCTTGGGGTCTACACCATATCCAGGAATATCAGCGACTGACGTTATGAAAAAGGTTTGGCCTAATTGCTTCACGAACTATATTTGTGTCGCTAATAGATTTTTTTTTCATTTTTTAAAGGTGCGAGATGGCTACCGGCTGGAGAAACCAGCGCATTGCCGCCGGGAGCTATACAATATTATGTACTACTGTTGGGCACATTCTCCCATAGAACGCCCAACATTTGCTGAAATTCTGCATATGCTCGAAAATTTACTGCTCACAGAAATGAATTATATTGAGTTGGAGCGCTTTCCTGATCACAACTATTACAATATAACTAACGTCAGTGGCGAAAAGTTATAAAAATTGCTAGAGCAATATTATTCGCAAAATACAACGCACTGCCCAATAGCTTTATTATATGTATTATTTTGGGCAGATTTAATTTTATGTCGTCATAATACTTTTAAAAATTTATAAACATTTTTCCAAAATTATTTAATATTTAAGTACAGTTTTTAAAACAATCAAGAGAGAACGCTACAGTCGAGCAAGCCCACAAAAAAGGAAAATTAAAAAAAAATTTTTAAATTAAATTATTTAAAAAAATTGAATTACTTATTAAAATTAATAAAGAAAATTTATTTAATACATACATCGACGACATGTTTATGTACAGTTTTCACAACATACATTTACATCGTCGTGTCTATGCGTGTTTATATTCGTGTATGTACAGCTGCGGGCAGAGCTGCAGGCAGCGCATGGGCAGCGATTTTATTTATGGCTATAACTTTCTTCAGAATTGACCTATCATGATGAAACTTGGCATACGGGCACATAAGCACTAACTGGATGTAACTACCAAACGGACAGACAGACGGAAAGACAGACGGACAGGCGGACATGTCTATATCGACACGGCTTGTCACTCTGATCAAGAATATATATACTTTGTGGGGTCTGCCACGCCTCCTTTTGCCAGTTACATACATTCGCACAAAACTAGTATAGCCTTTCACCCTTTGGGTACAGGCTATAAAAATTTGTTATTGGCAGCGCACAAGTACTGGGAGAAAAGATTGTGTCACCATGGAGACTGTGCGTGGATGCGCTACTACGACAGAAGGTATTGAGAGAATGCCACGACGACGGCCAATTGGAAGTGCGTCGAACATATGCGCGGCCTGGTTTGTATTGCGACGTCGCAAAATACTTGTATGTGCGCTAGTGCCGGTTGTGCAGACGCTACTATTGAATAGATTATATATTCGCTGAAAAGGGAAGGGCTCAGTAGGAGTAAAGTAAAAGACAATAGTCGCGGACCGCCGTGCGTCTGTTCGCTTTAGAGTTTTATTGGAGACTGACACTTTTGCTATACATATTCTTTATGCTTACATTCGTATGCAACAGTGACAGATAACTTGTAGATAACATAAGATTATTATCTGCTTATATTAACATGCGTGCATTGGTACTTATGTTTGTATTGATTTTCAACACCCTTCCTCAATGCAAACATGTTTTACAAAAATTTTCAAATCAAATTTAACAGCTTTGTAAAATGAACATGCTTCGCTTTAGGGAGATTTTTCGTTAAAATATCAGCTATCATTTCATTGGTTGATGTATACTGTAAAACAATTTGTTCTTCGTTTACAACCTGTCTTGCAAAATGATATCTAATATCAATATGCTTTGTTCTTTCATGGTGTACAGGATTCTTAGCTAATTGTTGAGCACTTAAATTATCGCCATGAAGAATAGTTGGAGTACTCGAGTCACCGCAGCCAATCTCCACTATAAGACGCCGTAGGTATATGGCCTCCTTACACGCAGTTGAAAGAGCCATATACTCCGCCTCCGTGCTGCTAAGTGCCACGCTGCGTTGCTTTTCAGATCGCCAGGATATGGGTCCTCCAGCCAAGTAGTATACATAGCCAGTATACGACTTGCGATCGATGCGGTCGCCACCCCAGTCTGCATCCACATAGCCGGTAAGGGGTTGTCCACACTCTTTGTAGTGCAACTTCAGGTCCACAGTTGACGCCAGGTATCGAAGCACATGTTTTACACCCACTAGGTGCTCTGCATGCGGATCTTGATTCCGTTGAGCTAACTTGGCAACGGAATGCAATATGTCTGGCCTTGTTGTAAGCGCCAGCCACATTAACTCGCCAATTGAAGACTGGTAGGATGCAATGTCAACCTTTTGACAATGCTCGCTGGTACATATCACTTGGAAACCAGCATCCAGTGGGGTCGCTGTAGGTCTACAGGTCTCGCATCCATGTTCACGCAATATGTCTTTGATGTATTGCGAATTGCTTAGCGAAATTTCGCCAAGCTCACCGTCGCGCTGCACTTCCATGCCAAGGAACAAATGCAGCTCTCCCTTGTCAACACATTCAAACGATGTTGTAATGGCTGACTTGATGTTGGCCAAGTCCTCTTTTGATCGGCATGCTATAATTATATCATCAACATAAACAAGGATTAATGATAAGTCACCTCTTCCGTTCCTTTTGTAAAGACACGGTTCATTTTCACATGCTACAAAATCTATGCCTTGTAGTACACAATCGAGCTTGGAGTTCCACTCGCGCCCCGACTGCTTCAATCCATATATTGCCTTTTTAAGCAATAAAGCCTTACTTGGATTATTGGGATCTGTGTATCCCTGTGGCTGCTTCATATAAACAGTTTCATGCAGGTCGCTATTCAAATAGGCGGTACACACATCTATCTGGTGAAGGTACAGCTTCAATTCCGCTGCTAACGCCAAAATAAACCGCACGGTTTCCAATCTGCAAACGGGTGAGAACGTCTCTACATAGTTCACGCCATACTTCTGGGAGCACCCTTTAGCAACGAGTCGTGCCTTGAAACGTTCGACTTTTCCATCAGAGTCACGTTTCAGGCTGTATACCCACTTGCAACCAACTGCTCGCTGATCTTTTGGTAAATCAGCCATCTGCCAGGTTTCGTTTGATTGTAGTGCCTGATATTCCTTTTGCATCGCCTCTTGCCAGAATACTGCATGTGTGCTACCAACGGCCTGATCATAGGATGTCGGAACCATTACGTCACTAGCAACCAATGCTCCAAGCACATTGTATTGCTTTCTTGGACGACCAGGTTTACCATTTCGAACAATTTTAGGCCGGCCTGGCCCAATCTTCACAGTATCCTCGTCAGAGTCTTCTTTTTCGACTGCACTCTCATATGCGTTGGAGCTGCTGTCGTCAGAACTGTGCTCACTGTCATCGTCGTCGATGCTTCTGTCACCATCCGTGTGAGTGACATGCTCTTGAACCTCGCATGCAGGAAAATCTACCGTAACGGTATCTTCATTGGTATGACCACCACAACGCTCATCAAATAGAATGTCTCGTTTTTCGACAATCGTCCTCGTCTCTGGGTCGTATAACCGATAGCCTTTGGCTGCTACCGAATACCCAACCATACGGTACTCATGCCCTTTGGGTTTGAATTTGCCTTTACGGGGACCCTTTGCAAGTGCAACTGCAATGGAACCAAAAACTTTTAGATGGCTAACACAGGGTTTCTTACCTGTCCACGCTTCCATTGGAGTCAGGTTGTTCAGTGCACTGGTAGGTGATCTGTTTCTTATGTATACTGCTGTGTTGACTGCTTCGGCCCACAAAGACTCGCCTAGGCCCGACTGCACCAATAAGCATCTGGACATCTCCGTTAATGTCCGGTTTGCTCTTTCCGCCACGCCGTTCTGCTGCGGAGTATAAGCCACGGTCAATTGCCTTGCAATACCATGGTGTTTCAGGAAACCGTTGAATGTTGTGTTGACAAACTCGCCTCCATTGTCGGTTCGAATACATTTGAGCTTTTTATCTGTTTGCCGTTCAACCAAGTTTTTAAATTCGACGAACTTACTGAACACTTCATCTTTCTTCCGCAAAAAATAAACAAATATACGCCTGGACTTGTCATCGATGAAGGTCAGAAAGTATTTGGATCCAGCAAGTGACTTCGTGTCGAATGGGCCGCATACATCAGCATGAACCAGTTCCAACAGCTCTTCGGCACGGTTAGTGCTTACCTTTGGGAATGGCTGTACATGTATTTTGCTTAGCATACACGTTTTGCAATTCAAGTTGTCTGGGAAAAAAACCTTTCCAATACCACGCACTAGCTCTTTGCTGATCACTTCCTTCAGACTGGTAAAATTTAAATGGCCATAACGCTTATGCCACAATGTACCATCTGATTCAGTTGCGGAATAACACCTATTTTGTTTGCCTTGAAACATATAAAGGTTCCCAACTTTATTCGCTTTCAGTATACACTCGCCGTTTTGTATAACTTTAGCAAAATGTGGCCCAAAATGTATAACATTGTTCTTTTGCACTGACCGGCTGACGGACATAAAGTTGCCATTCATTTTCGGTACATACAGTACATCTGACAACACCAAGGTACAAAGTTCTGTCTGTAACTTCACCTCTCCTCTGCCTTCGGCCTTCAGGAAACCAGCGTCAGCTAAACCGATCATTTCAGTGTGCGCAATAAATTTTGAAAATAACGTCTTATCGCAACACATATGGCTTGTTGCTCCGCTGTCCAGACACCACATGTTGTTCTCTATCTTTCCAACGTCCAACGCATTTAACAAGCTGCTCTGCTTTTCCATCTCTTTCTTTGTCGATTGCTTTTTCCCTTCACCGCGAATTTTCTCACGCTTGCACTGTGCCTTGTAGTGCCCTTTTTCGCCGCAGTTGTAGCAAACGACGATTTTTGAATTCCTTTTTGAATTCGCTTTGGAATGCGCGACGATCTGCTGCGTAGCTATAAATGCTCTTGCATTCTCGCTCTCTCCATCTGCATTGCCTCTGCGCTCTCCCTCTTCCATCAGCTTGATACATAACACATCAAATGACGGTAAATTGTCACGCGTCTCAATGGCGACGACAAAATTTTCGTATGGTTCGGGCAAGCTTGACAACAACACGATTGTTTTTAACTCATCATTTAATTCGATGCCAACTGTACACAAACCATCCAGAATTTCGTTAAATTCGTGTATGTAACTTGAAATGCTTTGGCCTTGAAACATGCGTTTGCCTAGCAATTTCTTGTACAGCGACACTTTCCGTACAGGTCCACTCGGCTGATGAACGTCCTTTAACTTTTTCCATGCCTCGTACGAAGTGTTGCAATTTTTAATGAAGCCCAATTGTGAAGCTTTTACACTTAGCGTTATAATTGCTAATGCCTTTTCATCTTTTGGCCTTGAACTCTCAGTATTACTAGGTTCAGCACCTGATGCCACACTCCACAATTCCGCGTGCACTAAGACAGATCGCATCTGTATGCTCCATGAGTCATAGTTATGCTCTTCCAATTTGTCTATTTGATATAGCGCACTCATTTTTTAAATGTTATATTTCTTGAGTCACCAAACGATTACTATTTCACAATACTTTGAACTTCTCCTATGAGCCTATATGCCCTGGGCCCATAACCTA